GTTTCTTTCTTTAGCTCTGTGGACATATTTATGAAAAATGAAATTTAGAGAACAGGGAAAATATGCTGCGTTCTCTCATTTCACACTTACATTATCTAGAGACATTGTGAGAATCACAATGTTATTGTTGTTTTTGTTACATGGCTCCAAGTCTACTCCAATTTGTCATGTTGTTATAATGCAACAAAACATCCATCCCTTCCAACCTGACCTTATTGTGTAGTCTAGGTCTGTTTAGTGAATGGGTGGAAAACTGCCTGAAAACCACCATGAAAAGCAAGTACACACATAACAAAAGAAAATGAAATGTCTGTTCATACATATGGTTCACAAGGCCTTTGATTGGTGTTTTGCAGGGAAGGAAAACCATTCTCTCCTTCAAACAGATTGGTGCTGGGTAGCAAAGTTCTATATTCATTTTGTTAGTTTATTTATTTATTGCACTTATATACCGCTTTTTTCACCCCTGGGGGGACTCCAAGCAGTTCACAATGTAGTAATGGCAAAATTCAATGCCTCACATATTTAAAAATAAATCACATATCTAAAATACATCTAACTATATATTAAAACCAATTAAACTATAAAGCATCACACATGGACATAGACATAAAACAATTGACTTAGCACCAATCCCGAGGTTGACATTTAACCACTTCAACATTGCTATCACTTCCTGAACGCTTGCTTGAATAGCCAAGTTTTTAGTTGATTTCTAAATGCCAAGAGGGGGCAATCTAATCTTGCTGAGGAGGGAATTCCACAGATGAGGGGCCACCACTGAGAAGGCCCTGTCTCTCATTCCCACCAATCGCATCTGTGAGGGCAACGGGACCAAGAGCAGGATCTCCCCAGCCGATTTTAATGCTCTAACTGGCTCATCAAGGGAGATGCATTTGGATAGGTAAGCTGAACTGGAGCCATTTAGGGATTTATAGGCGAAAGCCAGCACATTAAATTGTGCTTGGTAGCAGACTGGCAGCCAGTGGTGCAGACGCAACCAAGGGTGGGGGGTTGTATGGTCCCTGTATGCCGCTCCAGTTAAGACACTTGTCTGCTGCCTGTTGGACTATTTGGAGCTTCTGAACAGTCTTCAAAGGTAACCCCACATAGAGTGCATTGCAGTAATCTATTCAAGATGTAACGAGCATGTGGACCACTGTGGCTACGTCTGACTTCCCAAGGTACAGGTACAGCTGGTGCTCAAGTTTTAACTGTGCGAATCTCCTCTGGCCACCTCCGAAACCTGAGGTTCCAGGTTCAGCAATGAGCCCAGGATCAGTCCCAAGCTGCAAACTTGTGTCTTATTGGGGAGTGTAACCCCATACAGCATAGGGTGTAACCCTATGCCCTTTCAGTTTTGTGATTGACCAGGAGTACATCTTTCATTACTACATTGGTTTGAAAGGAAAGCTAGACAACATGAGAAATTGAGATGTGCTTCAGATTTTGCTAAGAACTTTAGAAAAGTCACAAATATATCCATAGTTTTGATGGAAACAAACTAGAATTTTAAACATTGGACTACAGGAGAAAGGTTAGTCAATCCTGAGGTAGAGAAAATTGAGATAACGAAGACAAACAATGCTTGAAAATGTAAATTTACCACCAGAAACCTCTTAAAATGTGGACACTAAGCAATTCAGTTTAGCATGGGATCATCTGGGATTGTAAATGCTCCATCTTCCTCCAGATTCTAATCTAATCAAAGCTTTGCAGTATTGCCTAATTGCCAGAAGCTGTCTCCTATAATCATTCCTAGGCTGCTCAGACAGTGAGGGCAATGTGTGTGTGTAAGCAAGCAAGCAAACAAGACAGCAAGCTGATTTTCTGTGCACACTTGCTCTTTCTGTCCATTCTAGGGTTGTGCAGGCGCACACAGTAGCAACAGTTTGGCAACATAAACCTTTCACAGCCTTGCAATTTTACTCATTTCATTTGAAAGCAACTTGGTCCCATCAGGCACCTATTTGAATTTTGTGTGTATTGTTTGCCAATTATGAAGCTCTTCAGTATTTGTTGTTTTCCAGAGCAACTATTGTATATTCTGGAAATTTTTGTGTTCAACAAAATCCCCTTTTTAAAAAGTTCTCTGTGGATATAGTCATTGAGTTCAATATGCCTAAAATGCACTCTTGGCCAAGATCCCTGATATGTACGTACTCAGATCATGAGAGAGGCCACATCTCATAACAATATCATTAACTTGAAGTTAATCTCCAGCATTTTCTTTTTCTAATGCTCTTCTCTCTCCCCGTTAACCTCAGTGCCTCTTGAAAATCATTTCCATTTGTCTGTCTTGTACTAATCTCCCTTCAAATGCCTCATCCCAGTGATCATTAGGGTCATAAAGTGCCTGCCCTCCCTCATATTCTTCCCTCCGGCAGTCTTCTTAGCATGTCTTGCTTTGTTAACTCTATCACTGTACTGCAATCTAAGAATGTGACTTTGACCCAGTGGTCTGTGCTTGAGTGATCCAAAGCACCAGGAAAGTGAAGCTGGGAGTAAATGCAGATCTCCGAGGACTTGACCTATGCTTAATGGCAATTTCAAATATTAGCATTCCATTCATTTTCAGCTATTCATATGTTCAGGGGCAATGAGGATCAGGTTTGGTTTTGAGAACTGCAGGTTTCCCTCAGATGGGTGCCTGTTCCTCTAGACTTCACACTTATCCATGTTATGCTGGAATCCAGATTCAAGTCTCAGGATACACTTGTGGAATTGCAGTTTGATACCACCTTAAGTGCCATGCCCTGAATGCTATGGAGTCATGGGAGTTGTTATTTGGCGAAGCACCAGTTCTCTTTGACATAGAAGGCTAAAGTTACAACTCCTATAATTTCATAGCATTGAGCTATGGCAGTTACTACCTCAACAGATGGCTGGTGGCAGAAAGAGGTGGCGGTCTGCTTCACCACAAAGCGTGGGAAAATCAGCATCCCATGCCTTGCATCACCTGCCTGGTCAGAAGGACAGTCACATGGGGGGGGGGGGAATGTGTGGAGCATGTATGCTATGTGCAGCTTCTTTCCATAGATTGGGCAACACGGGAAGCCTCCCACGTTGCCAGGGCAGTGGCAGCAGCACACTGGCTCCACCCTTCTGGACCTACAGAGTCAGTATGGCATCATTTGATGGTAGCCAGCTGGCTCTGTGGGTGAATCTAGCCCCATATGATGAGGTCGAAAGTGGTATCAAACTGCATCAATTCTTTAATGTAGATGTATCCTCATCTTTCTTTGAGTACAGTTTCAGGGCTGGTTTTAACATTAAGAAAAAAAAGTGAAGCAGTTGTATCAGATGTTGGCAGCAGAAGCTGAAGGCAGAAACGAACTTAAAGTTGGAGGACAGAACTGTGTGAGCCAGTTGGCTTGCTTACATCCTCTAAACTAGTCTGGGAGAATGGTATCCCATTATTTATTTATTTATTTATTTAATTCAGTTTGAATATTTGTACCCCGCTCTTCTCAACCCCCTGGCGGGGGGGGGGGGGGGGGGGGGGGGGGGGGACTCAGGGCAGCTTTCAATCAGCAGCAATTCGATGCCTCAATATATACATAATAAAACAAACAGTCAATAATTATAAATAGTTAAAAACATTAAAATAATACAATTAAAATCTACTAAGAATTACCACTCTGGTTGCCATTATAAGCTGAAAACTGTGGTTGGATGCTCCATCAAACTTATCCATAATCCATTTCCAAGCCATTATCAACATTGTTATTGTCATTGTCCACTTAATTAGCTGAAGGCCTGGTCCCACATTCACGTTTTTAACTTTTTTCTAAAGGTGAGGAGGGAAGATGATCTAATTTCCCCGGGGAGTGAGTTTCACAGGCGGGCGGGGGGGGGGGGGGTAACTGAGAAGGCCCTTCCCTTGTCCCCACCAAGCATGTTTGAGACAGAGGCAGGGCTGAGATCAGGTCCTCCCCAGAAGATCTTAAACTCCGAGTTGGGATGTAGAAGGAAATATGTTCGGTCAGGTACGCTGGACAGGTACGCCATTAGCAGTGCTGCTGAAGAAGGATTCCACTATTAATCTGACTGGCTTTTTTACATTGATGTCAAAAATATTATGGGTATTGTAGTACATACAAATAGTTTCTTCAAGCTCTGGAATGTTCTGGCTAACTTCTCCCCTTATTGGAAGAAGACTGAATTCGCTGAAATGCCAATAGGCATCTGTACCTGGAAGGGAAGGCACTACTTATTTTGCTTCAGCCCCCCCCCCCCCAATGAGAACTGTGTGCTTCCATGTAGCAGTAGAGACCTTGGCAATAGATCTGGATTGTAAATCAAGATTGATAGGGCATTAGTAAAAAATCACCTAGGTAACCTAAGTGAGTGCAAATCTGTGGCCAGATGAACTGCATCCCAGAATACAGAAGGGGCTTGCAGATGTAATATCTGAACCACTTGCCATTCTTTTTTGAGAAATCTTGAACAGGTAAGATGCCAGAAAGATGGCAAAAGACAAACATTTTCCCTCTAGTCAAAAAAAAGCAAAAAAATTCCAGAAAACTTCAGACCTGGACCAGCATGACACTAATGGGAAAATTGAATGGATGATACAGATGGGGAAAGGTTGTGGGATGGCTGGGCATCCCTGAAGATGAATCCTGTTGGGAGATAATGGAGTAAGATGTTTTTCCCACTCTTCCTGCCACTTTCCCCTGCTTCCCTCCTGCCCATCTAATAAAGTCCTTAGTCTCCAGGGCAGCAGAAAACAAACCTGCTCCCTTGTCTTGTATGACATTCTTTCAAATATTAAAACATGATATTTAGCAGTTCCAGTTGCAAACAATTAAAGGAGCATGGATCGGACCTTGGAAAAACATTTAATTGGCACCTCGACCCCAGAATCCCCTTCCAGGATGGCCTGTAACTATAACAGCTGATAGATTCTGCATTTTTTAATTCTAAGCATTGATATTGATGATTCTCAGTTTCTCTCCCTCTCTACCCAAGCCAAAGGAAATAGACAGGACAAGAAATGAAGACTTAGCTCCTCCTTTTCACGTTTATTTCATTTTTGTTTTTTTGTGGGTTTTTTTAGACCACAGAAGAGCAGAGCATTCATAGATGTAAATAAACAGAGACACAGAAACAGAAGTTAAATACATTGAGAAAAGAAAAAAAAGAAAAGAAAAAAGCTTTTGTCATTTTTTTCTTTTACACACACACACTGCGCTTTTAAAATGTTCTTCCACAGAGCTAGTTTTTGAAAAATCGACAGAAAAAAATAAAAATAAAAATAGAATGGCCGCGTTCTCATTTCGTTAAAGAGAAGTTCAGATCATGTCTACGGTGCTGGGGAAAAATATATATAAAGATATAGATATATATATATATTTATATGTATATAACACTGTTAATGAGGAGAATTCTAACTGCCCAGCAGTGCAGCAAGACGAGACTGGATATCCTCCCAAAGGCCTGGAGGAATAAAATTGACTGCCGCTGGTGAAATAGAAAGGGTCAAGAGTTGCTGGAGATGAGTTTGCCATCCTCTCCCTGTTCTTGTCAACATAAACCTTTCCTTGTTAACAGGAGCTCACCGCAAGCCACAAAGCTTATGACTTTTATTATATAGTTTTAAAAGCACATTGAGTAAGTCTGTTGGGTTTCATGTGTCATGGGGGAAGCTGGAGAAGATGAATGTGGCAAAGGAGTGGGGTGCTGACATTTGGGAAACAGCAGAAGATACTGAGTGGCGGCATTTCAGTGTGCCTGTATGTAAGTGCTTGTCTTCCTGTGACCAGGACTGGGAGCAAATGACATTTCGGAGAAAGTAAATATTCCCATTTGAAACAGCTTTTCAATAAAAGCTTATAGTTAAATGGTTGTGCTCCTTGCATATAGTTACATTTCATGTAGGGTTGGATCCAGACTAAATCTGTTTCACTTAAGTCCTGTTGAAACATTTTGGTTGAATTAATCATAATTTAAGTCCCACCGATTTCAATTTCAACAGCTATGTGGAACTGGTTTAATCTGGCTCCAACCACTCAAATCTATTGAGATATCAGAAATTACGGAAGCAACCAAGACAGAGAATGTGTTTATATAGGAAGCCATTGGTTATCACACAAGTCAGTTTCACAAAAGACATTTGACAAAATGACTGTTTGCATTTCCTTCATCTCTTTGATGATGTTCTCATACTGAATTGTATTTCTAAGTCATTTGATTACATTATTAATTATACCCCCCCCCCCCAAGAGTTGTTCCCAGTGTACTTCATGACAGCAATGTACACAACATGGTAAGATGGCAATAGTTCTGTGCATTTAGTAATATCTCTACATTTAAAGGAATTATCATTTTTGAATTCAACTTTACCATTTGTTGTACCATCCTAAACATGGGGACAGGGGTTCATCAGAATAAACATAGATTCTTCAGCATCACTTATGAAGTTTCTCTCTGTGAATTCCTGAAGGACTTCATTTTAGGAAAGTGGTGGTATTACATTATTTAAAGTAACTACTGGGTTCCATATGGTCACACTTTCTTTGCCTGCATGAGAAACTGGTTTAGTTGACAACTTTGCCTAGGATTGGCTGATGCCATTTCGAATCTAATACCTTCCTGCTCTATCACCTCCTACTATTACATTTTCAAGACTGGAGGTAGAGTGGTAGATGCCTTTCACTAGTTCTGGTTTATTTGCTAAGATGAACACCCACAGCAGTAACGAAGCATTAAAAGATTAGCACACATTCCATTATGATGACTGTGTATCCTTGGTAAGTGTAGGTTCTTATAGAGACTACAGCCCTCCTAGTATCAATATATCTGCCTTGCAGGAAGGTGAAGTGTGTCTTGATGAAGCCTGCAAACAGAAGGCATCTTACACATCTCTATAAAAAACTACAGCACTGTACATCCATATCCTCTTCCTCTTACCTATTGATCCGCTTATACATGTGCACGCAAGGATTACAGTCTTGCATAGTTTTTTTAATTGCTGCACAACAGATCAACTCTTTATCACCCAGGAACAAAATGCATTCCAACAAGAAAATCCATTCACTATTCTGGAAAGTTGTGGGAAAGAATCCATATTTGGCGTGAATCTGAATCAGTAGAAATATTTCTTCTCAAATGAGAGTGAAAGCATCTGTCTGTCACAGCCTGCCTGGAGCTTCACAGGATTTATGCTGAAATGATATATAGTTATTTGCTGTAATGTTATGATAACACCAATAGTTGCTCATTCGAGACAGAGATGATGAAGGGCACTGTTTACAACAGTATAGGAGGAGTAATTTCATCTCCATTCAGTTGGATTCTTTCATGAAAAAGTGGAAAGAAATTACAGTACATGTTGTATGGAGGTCTCCTTTGGTGTGGTTGAAAGAAAAGGTAGCTTGGGCTATCTCTGTCCTCTTTATTACATGTCCACCATCCCTTGGAAAAAAACTGGTGTAGCTTCAGAATGTTATAGGCAGGCTTTTGAAGTGACTTAGAAGGATGATGATGGTGATATCTGTTTAGCTAACTATAGGCATACCGTGTTAACTCCATTGATTTTTTTGACCAAAATCCCAATGCTTTTACTGGATTCAAGACTGTATCCCTGTCTTTTGAAGAGGCTATCACTGAATAGACCAAATAATACGCAATTTCGTTTGGGGGATCAATGTCTAATTTCCGATCTAAGAACCTCAAGGCTGTAAGGTAGAAAATAATCAAGCTGTCAAGGTACACAGTGACTCACACACTTGTCTTCTTGGTAATTTGCAGGCATTTGTAGCTATCCCATTTGCCAAAGAGCAAGTCACATACAAGGCAAAGCACTCTGATCATGCTTAGAGTTCATGTGTTCCAAGAAGGTGCTTCCATGCTTCCTGGGTAGTATGAAAGAGGCGTGCCTCCCCATCCCCTCAAGCTCCAGTCATTTGGGAAAAAAGTTAGCGATCTGACAAGAAGTCATCTTTGTATCTAAGTTTTTCTTCTGCTGCATGGACGTTAGTGGACATTGCATGTCACTCCCATATATTTACAAACTTTTAGAAGAAATACAATCTTTTTTTTTGTATTTTTGTTTTTATAACACTAAATGTTAAAGTTCCATCAATCAAACACAATTACACCTACAGTCTGGAGAAACTGGTGTCCCCTTCTGATTCACCACTCTGGCATGGCGATAAGCTGTAGCATTTTAGGGTCCTGGGTGGGAAAGGGAAGCAGGAAAACAGGGAGAGCATGAGGGGAAAGAGTAGAAACAGAATATGAACACCTTCACATGAATGCACCATCGTAGTTACTCTTTTACCTCCCAGGAAGACCGACTGGCCTCAGTGGCAAGCATAAACAAAATGTTCAGGGACCAATGAGAACTGAGGGTGTGTTACAGCACCTCTCAGGAAGCACAAAGACAACATCTGACTCTCTGGATGCTGACAGCAAATTAAAGAATTATTATTCCTTCAAACCAAATGCCACCCACAAGTCTCTTATTAAATAGAGATTGCAAAAACTTTACAAAATTGTGACTCGCATGCATTTTTTTCTTTAAAGTGCCTAAGTATACCTCCCCATGATATAGAGGAGAAGCTTGGGCATCAAATAGATAAAGGTATTGATCAAGGTCCCATAAAGAGTCAGTGGCAGAGTATCAAGGGAACTTTGGTTCACACTCATCTGCTCCAACCATGACATTTTGTCCTGTTTCCTCGTTCAGCCCATCTCATCCTGTCTAAGGAAAACCCTGTTGGTTTTTTATTTTTATTTTTTTGTTATTTTACAAGTATACTTTAAAAAACATAAGATTTTAGTCATTTTTTTCTAAAAAAAATTGTTGCCATTAGCACAGTGTTTTTCAGCAACCCTACAATAACAAAGCAGTGCATTCAGCCAACATTTGTGAATGACCCTACCACAACAAAGTAAAGAGCAGATATGACATGGACAAGGAGCAGTGTTAGTGATGGGAAATATAATATGCAGGGGAGGGGAATAGAATTTAGCTTGGTTCCCAAAGTATCAGAAGAGCTATTGGATTGTGTGGCCACATCCTAAAAGTCCTAGTTAAGGAATAGAGGATATCAACACTCAGAAGCATTACCAAAGTAAAGCTTGGCTCCATTCTGGAAGCCAGTATATGGCCTGTGGGACTCAAGCCACTTCTAGATAGCAGTTTGCTCGGCCTTGGTTTTCATTCACCACATCAAGTAATTTCCACATTCGATGGCTACTTCCAGATGATATCTAACATATATGGATGTAGTTGCTTTTGTAGTGTACTCATTGTCTAGCCAGAAATTGAAATACTAGATTCACCGCAACACATTCTTCTCAGTTCCTAACCTCTTTTTTGTTTTTTTCATAGAAGAAACTTCTATTCATTACTGTTTTCCTCTCAATCACTTCCAGATATTCCAATATGTTCCTTAATATTATTGCAGAGGGAATGTTCATTTGAGAAACTTATTTCCCAGCACCCTCTACTTCACATTTGAATGGGATTGTTGAATATACCCCAAGGAAGATTTGGGAGCTTGATGGAGGCTCGAGTCAATTTATCTGTCCTAAGGTTGATCCCAAGGCTAACATTTTTCAAAAAATAAATACCAGTTATGTGTATTTACAATCCACTGCTATACATTTACCAGTAGTAAATTCCATTGGCCTCAGGTGGGCTTGCTCTCCTCAATGAGTATAGGGTCAGAGCCATAAACCTGAGGAAAAATTGGTGATGTTATTTGCACAAACCAATTTGGTTTGGGAAAATTGCCAGGAGGTGAATTTTCCCTTCAGTTTTAGATGGCCATAATGTCTACGTGAAAGAGCAATTGAAAACATGCTAATAGCAAAACTAAAACTTTCTTTAGAAATCCATTTTGCTAGGAAAAGGGGTGGGGGGAGGGGGGGAGAACCAGTGATATTTTGAATTATGTCCAAGGAATGTGAAAACAGAAGTTGCAACCACTGATTAGGGGCCAAGCCTCAATGGTAAACGCATGCGTACACACACACACACACACACACACACACACACCCTTATAGAACTCTCACTGACTGTCTGATTTAACATTTCCCCAATTCAAATCCATTGCTATTGTCAACACTGAAGGAACTATAATATAATTGTATTGTAAGGCATTAATTGTATTTGATGGGGATGTAAAGAGGGAGCATTTCAGGACTGCTCAACATTCCCTCACTGCTTTTTCTTTGAAAAATCTTAATCACAATTGCATTTCCTTCTGTAGGGTTCCATATCTGTGTCTCCCTGCATGAACATCCATATGTATGGGAGGATACCATTTCACCCATTAAGTTAAATACAAATTGGTAAGCAAAGCAAAGAAAACCCCAACACCTGTCACTTGCTGCTGTATACTAAATGTTTGGATTTTATGTTTCAATATAATAGCATTCTATCAGAAGTCATGACCAGTGAACAAATCTGGAGAATTTACAATTTAAGCCAGGTTACCAGTATTAAAAAAACTCTAAAATCAAGATGGTAGATAAAGAGCAACACTCAAGCAACTGGGGAATTCCAGACATGAAACAATCAGGACCAACTAACACTTCCCAACAAAGGATTCCCTGAGGCAGAAAGCAGTCAGTCTTTGAAGCTGCAAGGCCAGGCAATGCTAATCAAAGTTGCCAATTGTAACATTCACACTTGCCTCAAATAGACAAGAGTTCTTCTCCTACCCTGGACATTCCACAGATATATAAACCTCGCTTGCCTAGTTTCCAACAGTCCTCACAACCTCTGAGGATGACTGCCATAGATGTGGGTGAAACATCAGGAGAGAATCCTTCTGGAACATGGCCATACAGCCTGGAAAACTCACAGCAACCAAAGCTCTTTGTCTGTCAAATCCTACCAATCCTGTTTCACATTGTTTGCTTCCTGCGTAATAAAGTATTCTCTGTGATTTCCCATTTTGGCCACATCAGCAGTGGTCTCCCTGAATGGCTGGACATTTTACAGAAACTGAAAATGTTCCTTAATATCTGGTGCTGTTCCATGATAAAGAATGCTCTATCAAGGCCACCGGGTTGTGTTCTTACTGTTTCAGATAATTACTAAGTTGTTGAACTAAGAGTCTGTAGTAGGCTCTTCCAGATTGCTCTAAAGTGTGAGTTCTTCTGATAGAGCTCTTTGGGTTTTGCCAATTTTTGCCACTTCTAATTCTACTTGTTCTATTCTTTGTCAAAGGCAGGGCTGTTGAGAGTGATTTCTGAAACATGTCCTTCAAGTGTTGTTTTTATTTTTATTTTTTAAGTGGGGCATATTTGCTGATGTGGTCTTTTTGTTTTCTCCTCTTTGAATTTTTAAATTTAGAATTATAGAATTAGAATGCATTACTGTGGCAGCATAGATGGATAACTAAACAATTTTTTTAACGGGAAGGAGACATATTGTTCCAAAGTGTCTTTCAATATAAAAATAACCCACTTGATAGTGGGAATAAAATAATGCAGCTGGTGCTGGGACCATAGAATATCTGTTGGATTTTTTCCAACCCAACAACTCCAGAAGTAGCGCAACAAATACTGTAACTTCCCAACACCTTTGATGCAGGCTCTTTATATTTTGAGCAGCAGTTTCTGTTCTTTCAAAGTGCCTACATGCACATGTTTGAATGTGGTAGTGATGGTGGGAGAATATATTGTAAATTTGAGATGAATATTATTTCCTCTCCTGACTGTTCTTGTTCTCGTTCTCTCTCTCTCTCTCTCTCACACACACACACACACACACACACATCTCCCTTCGTTTCTCTGTTCCACTTCCTGCCTTTATGGTTATGATCTGTCCAGGAGTAACTTGTCAGCCTTGGAAGGATGGTATTGAGAACCCTGGCTGCCTGCTTAATTGACTGCCAGAGTCTGCCCCAAATTGCAGACCTCAGCAACAATAAATCGCTAAAGCAGCAGGGAGAGATGCAACCGGGCACTTGATCAAGGTGAGAGCTGTCTTGCTGGGCTGGCACAGAGCCACAGGGAGCCATTTGTAAGGGGTTGGGAATCATTAGACCAAAAGGAAGGCTCTGATGCACATAAACATACACCCAGACACTCACACACCCAAATGCATTTGTACTTCCAGGCCTTTTTCCTAAAATGCAGAATTACATTATAGATTAACACCAGCCAGTTGCCACATTTAATAGGAATTACAAGGCTTTGGGGTGGAGAGATTTTTTCAGTGGGATAAAAGTCACTGATGAATTTTCAAGCAATTTCTCTTTCGCTCTTTCTGAACCCCTTTCTCTTCATCATAAGGATAAGGAACCAACAGTTCCTCTAAAAGAAAACTAGCAATCCCAACAATCTAGGTCTTGTTTTTAGAACCTATGCAATTCATGGCTAGGTAGGTATGCAACTGGATTGCTCTTGTGTATCTGGCATTGATGGGTAGGAGTTTGAGAAACTGAAAGTAAAGGAAACTTTGACAGTGACATGAGATGAGAATGTATTTGAAAAAAAAGTTTTCTTTTCTCACACCAACATTAAAACAAGACTGCATGCAATTTCTAAAAAATATAGCCAGGGCACATTTTTTATAAATATAGCCAGGGCACATTTTTATAAAGCTAATTAATTCAGCTTGTCCCTGTTTGGGATGCCCAACAGAGCAAGTGGGAATCAAATACATTTGTTTATAGTTTAACACAGGGGTCCACAAACTTTTTAAACAGAGGGCCAGGTCACAGTCCCTCAAACTGTTGGAGGGCCGGATTATAATTTGAAAAAAAACAACACATGAATTCCTATGCACACTGCACATATCTTATTTGTAGTGTAAAAAACACTTTAAAACAATACAATAATTAAAATGAGGAACAATGTTAACAAATATAAACTTATTAGTATTTCAATGGGAAATGTGGGCCTGCTTTTGGCTGATGAGATAGGATTGTTGTTGTTGTTACATACTTTCAAGTCGTTTCAGACTTAGGTTGCCCCTGAGCGAGGGCCGGGTAAATGACCTTGGAGGGCCGCATCCGGCCCCTGGGCCTTAGTTTGAGGACCCCTGGTTTAACATGTCAATGTGAGTCCATCGTGAAGAGGGGGGACCCCAGAGTTACCAAAACATCAAGGTTTAGGTCACATAGGTGGATAGACCCCTCTTAGTGACTTGGCTTGAAATGTGGAATCTTAACCCATTCTCCATCTGTAGGTGTCCAATCAATCTCTGGCACTTGGATTGCTTACGTGAGAAGAATGCCATGAGCCAGAAGGAAAGTCATTAAAATGCAGACTCATAATATAACTGGAAATTTTCTTTCTTTCTTTCTTTCTTTCTTTCTTTTGCAAATGGTCCTCTGCTCAGCCTTTCAGAGATGGTTAAGTTTCAAACTAGAAAACTGAGTGATTTAAAGGGTATAAAACTGAAGCAATGTCTTAGAAGAATTTTGTTATTATCTTGGAAGAATTGTGTTTTAGTCAGAAGTTGGGGAAATTACATTTGGATCTGTAGTTTTTATCTATCTCTGGCATTGCTGGCTGGAGAATGTGTAGGATATCACCTTAAAATGTAAATTTCTCAAAATCTGATTTTACTATAGCCATGAGAAAATTTGCCTTATTTTCATAAGAAGTCCATGAATTACCAATTGATTAGTATAGTCTGCCATCTTGTGATTTTGGAGGGATTTTCACCTTTTCCTCAGTAGTGGAATTACTTCTTTCTGGAAAATTGGTTAGGTTGAGGAAACAGAAGGGTCTCTAGTCACAGAATCAGTAGCATTAGAGTAACTTCAGTATTTTAAAAAATAATGGAGAAATCCCCATCACATTCTCTTTGCACAAGAGCACATCTTAGTGCATCCTTTTGGTGCTATCATGCTTTCTGCAATGGACATTCTTCTAAACAAAATTTATGGGCCTGTGAAACTGTCAGTGATGCTTCAGCCCTTCCCATTTGAGTTCAGACATAGAAAAGATGGCCACAACTGCATACCCTCCGAATATCACAAACCACACACCTATGCATTTAACAGATGAATCCAGGATATACATAGCCAAGCAACATCGGAGTGTAATCAAGATGTCAAAGGTTATTAGTGAGAAAGAACACACAAGGTAGACTGCAGTAGTTTGCCTTTACATGAGCTTACAGGGAAGGGTAAGTGTTTGCCTCTCCTCTCCACAACTGAGCCAACTGAGTGCAAACTACTATTGCATATTTAACTCAGGGGGCAACAACTGAAGTAAGTCAGGATGAGGAGGGAAGGTGGCATGAAATAGAAAGTGGAGCAGATGAAACAGTGAAATGAAGGTGATTAATCAGGACTGTCCCTGCCAAACTGGGAGGATTTGAAAATATGCAAATGCAGGTAAAACATTACTAAATAGTTTCATTATCATGACCAATATTAAGAAATAGAGCCGCAACAGATTTCTGTACATTGAAGACCAGTGTTGTGTAATACTGGCACAACTATTCTACACTCTACAACCTTCAGGAACTATTTACTTTACATGGCCATATTCCCTGCTAACATTTTCTATCTTCTCCTTGTTCAGAAACATTCAGGTTACTCCCTAATCTTCTGGATCTTTCACTGATTTTATTTAATATTTATGTTCCTCACTTTAATTCTGGGGCAATAATTATTCCTTACATATAACTGCTTCACCTTGGCTAAATCACTCCTGCAAATTTCGCAAATCAACAGTAGTACAGTGAGCTCTTCTGCTACAATATATTTACCAAGCATTTTTTTAAGACTTAAGGTACAATTATTCTAATCTGTTTAAATCACACTCATTCCAGATCCCTATGCTTACAGAGTTTCCTATAATTTAGCAGCCTCCTTGAGGTTCAACAATTTGTTACCCTGGCTACAGATACTCCAGCGTGGATGAGGACAAACTGAAGAGTATTTGAGTCAACACATATATACTTCATTTGAACACTACCCAAATGAGCTAACCTAGTGATGGGAGGCAAGAAAAGGCTAAGGGAAATGCATTGTTCATTTCTCTATCACCCTGAATTCACATCCAAGCCAACGTTCAACCTCATGTACAATGCAAGTTATTATCTACAGGTTTGATGAGCTTATGTACACAGGGACAGTTCCCTTTGCATGCTTTTGAAAGAAAGAGAGAGCGAGAGAGAAGGAGAGAGTCACACAGACATACACACATGTGCACACACACTGACACACATGTAAAAGAGAGAGAGATTGAGAGAGAGAAAGGGAGAGAGGTGAGCTAGGCTGGCAAGAACAAGAGGATAGGTGAGTAAAACTGGTATGTTTTAGCATAATCAAAGCATCATGGGCTAAGAGTGCACAGGAATATAGGGGGCAGCCTAAGAGGATAGGCAGCAAGGTGGGGGCTGCATGGAATATCCTAATGGGACACCAGTATGCTAGAGAAATCTGCATCATTGTTTGCCAGATATTTGAAGAAAAGCTAAGTATCAGTTTAAGAAATGAACAAGCCAATTGAGAGGTTGTGGCTATCAATTCCAAAACAAAGGCCATCTCTTTCCATGAGGGAGGGAAGGTAGGAGGGAGGGAGGCTGGAGGAAGAAAGGGAGAAAATGATATGAGGGATCGGAGAGATTAAACATCAATTTCACTATTGATATTTCTTTTTTCCCCAGCATCTCAGCATCCTTGGCAGGATCCAGCCTCAACAGAGTGATCCGTCCCATCTCTCATACTCCTGGATGGTCAGTGACTTGACTGTTAGTTATAATAAATGTTGCTGATTCTTCTTCATTGAAAAATTCCCCCTCCGTTGCGGTACACACAAAAGTTGTGAAAGAAGCTGTCTTTTCCCTCCCCCTCTTTCTCTTGCTCTGTCTCCTGTATGACATTTTTGTTTGTTTTGCTTTGTGTGTTGTTCTTGTTGTTGTTGCTGGGTTTTTAATTTTTTCCCCTTGTTTTAAAATTAGGATGTTATTAACATTTGCTGAGTAGGCAGAGCAGGGATGCTGCCAACAGCCACAGTGGAACGGCCAGACACATTGATCCTTTGCCTGCTATCCCTGTACCAGGTCCTAGAAGATGAGAGAGAAACAGGAGACAAAAACAAAACAAAGCATATAATTAGATATACAATCCAGAATGCACAATGAAAACCGTAGTCATTACTCTATGAAGTCCCCACATATTGTTGTCTCCTGCTAAGATAAAGTGATGACTTCAATTATTATTGGGTGGCAACCCTTTTTCCTGTCAAGTGCCTCATATCCTTAGAAGTAATTTTTCAAAGGTGCATGTCATTGGTTGGTTTTGCCCCACACTGCAGAAGGGTAGTGTTTCAGAGTAAAGATTAGTAGAGACGCTGTTTTTCTCTTTTTTTCTGCCATTCTCTTTTATCTTCTCTCTTCACTCCACTTCTTTTTGACTATTGGCAGATGGAAAGTCAAAATAGGTCTACCTGGAGTCCATTAACACTACAGAAGTATAGCACTATGATTCCATTTTTAACTGCTATGGGATCTTGAGATTTATAGTCCGGGGAGATGCTAGAGCAGTGCTTCTCAACCTGTGGGTCCCCTGGTGTTATGGCCTACAACTCCCAGAAATCCCAGCCAGTTTACCACCTGTTAGGATTTCTGGGAGTTGAAGGCCAAAACATCTGGGGACGCACAGGTTGAAAACCACTGTGCTAGAGCATACTGGCTAGGAATTTGAAATCCTGACGATCCAAGGATTTCATACGATGGAATGATGGTAGTTAAAATGGAATAACTCTGTAGTATAAATAGCCCCCTTATCACAGAAAGCCTTCAAAAGTAGGCTGAGGGCCAGATGAAATTACTTTAAGTGTTTAATCTAAGGAATGAAGGTCATCCACCTCTAGATCATAGACTCATCTTAACAAAGAGTGTTTTTGTGAAAAGATAGGTATTATTTCACTTACCTGTCATTTAAACAACAACCACCCTATAAAAACACATGTAGAATATAATCATGACACAAAGCTGTCCCACCTGCTTAGGTTTCTAGGACAACGACAAGGCAAATGTGTGGAACAATTGTTTTTACCCTCATGGCAAAGTGATAGAGAAAGCTAAGCCATGAGGGAACTCTACATGGATAACGGGAGCTGAGATCTGTTTCAATAGTGGGGCTAGCCGTTCCATGCAGAAGAAACAGTTGATGGGAATTGAAAGTGGTAAAATAGATTGCATCACTTCAGACTGCAGAAGGGGAATGTCATTTTTGGATAAGTCTTTTGTGTAAGAAAAGGTTCCTGCCAGTAAACACATTCTAGCTTAGTATGTAAGTGCTGCAATATTACACATTGCCTCGGGCAGTCTTTCCGTTATTTTCTATCCCTCTCGCTTTCATAATAAACATTGTAGAAAGTGACTGTTCTTGTTATTATTAACAGTACAATTCATTCTACTACTCAAGACACTGTCATTCACAGGAAAAGCTTTGGTTGGCTGTTCTTGTCATTTCTTTTCAGACCACACTGGTGGGATGGTCTGAACGTGAGCTTTGGCTGAGCTTTCTTTCTCTGCCTTCCTCCCCATCCCCTGTTGAACCCGTGTCACCCACCTGTTTACTCCCTCCCTCTCTCATGTTGTGGTCCTTGAATGCCAGAACTCATTCCAATTCTGCACATTGACAAAAGTCTGCTTGCAGCCAAACGTTGTCTCCTCAGGGGCTGATTCATCACAGCACTCAAATCAATAAAACATGGAACCAATCAGCAAACGCCCTTCTGTCTCAAGGGAGGCTGCATAATTATTTATTTGGCAATTGGAAAGGGGAACGATTTCAATGTAACATTTATGGACCTACAGCGCAAGGCCTGCGGGGAGGAGCAACAGGAATGCCAGCCAAGCTTTGATTTTCACACGGGTGGAGAATGAAAGCCACTCACTGCCGCAGCAACAAATAATACAGGGCTGCAACAGGAATATTAAGTGCTCACACGATGGACGGTCTTTCATTCAGCCACCTGTTTACTGCTCTCCTGCCTGGGATAATCTCTAGATAGAGATTCTATATAAGAGTTCCCTGTGGTGGTGACACTCTACAACACACAATATGTTACTGTGATTTAGCCAACGTTATATCTTGTGTATACAATTTGAATCTCAGTAAGATATTGAAAACTCCTGTGCACTGCAGTATATCTCTATTTGGTAATGAAATCTGAATACAAACAATTGTTATATGAATAGGTCTTTTTATTTTTTAAAAAATATTTTTATACCACCCCTCATTAAGAACTTCCAGGACAATAAGCAAAGTTCAAAGAACTAAAACAATATATACCCACCTTGCACAAAACTTGGTATTAAAAGAAACCAATGCATGAGAAGGGATGGTTCTTTTTTTTAAAAAAAAGTTAGATTACTAATATTGACCTGTGGATAAATCAACCTAGGTTTTTTGAGATTGGCTTTTTACTAACATTTCTAGACCTATACACGAGTATATAGAGTAAGTAGTCTGATTGCTGATAATCTGATAGGGGCATAAACACCTCTTCTAGGTTCCAGTATTTAGACATACAGATTCTGTGCCAACCCCTCTTATAAACCAAAACCTGTATAAATTGTACTCCCTCTTAGGCAACAAGAAAACTTGCTATTTGAAAAAAAGTGTGGCACATGTTACAACTTAACTTCTATACAGTAAATATAAAATTTCTTTGAAGGTTTTAAACAGAGGCTGTATGGCCATCTGCCAGGAGTGCTTTGAATGTGATTTTTCTGCTTCTTGGCAGGGGGTTGGTCTGGATGGCCCATACGGTCTCTTTCAACTCTATGATTCTGTGAACAGTTTAGATATTTTTCTATGAACAGTTTAGATATTTTTATGTCAGATATTTGGCCCAATTCACTTGTTCTACCTCATACCTTGAAATATATTTTTGACTCTTTTAATGACCGTTTTGAGTCACATGAACTCACTAAATGACTATGAAAAAGATTACAACTTAGGAGACCTTGTTACCATAACAAGGTCTCCTAAGTTGTAATCTTTTTTCATAGTCATTTAGTGAGTTCATGTAGCAGAAATGGAAATGCCAATGAGAGCATTGCTCATCTCCTGCCTCACATGATAAGGTGAGCATGAAGTGGAACCAGTGAATTAAGAGTATTGATTTTGCCATAGTATTTTCATGTTGGTAGTTGTTTGATGTTAGCAGTTTTATAAGCAGAGGGAATTTAGGAGCCACTGCACAGGGCACACCTGAAATCAAAACTTTTCTCCTGAAGTGCCACTATTTCATGAAGGGGCGGTTTTGCACAAATGGATCCTTTGGGACCAGGAGATAGAAAAGTAGAGAACATTGCAAGCAGAAATTTTATTTATTTATTTATTTATTTGATACTCTTATATACCGCAATATCTCAGCCTGGAACGGCGACTCAATG